TGGGAACGATGAGAAGACCAATAGCAATAGTAATGCAGCCTAATGTGAATAGTTTGACAGTGTTGAGGGAATTATTTGTTTAGCAGAGTGATGGCGTTCGGGGAAAAAACTGTCCTTGTGTCTAGTTGTTCTGGTGTGCAGTGCTCTATAGCGTCGTTTGGAGGGTAGGAGTTTTTTTTTTTTTTAATTTGATTTATATGCCGCCCTCCTCCGGAGACTCAGGGCGGCTTACAATGTGCTAAGCAATAGCCTTCATCCTTTTGTATATTTATACAAAGTCAGCTTATTGCCCCCACAAACTGGGTCCTCAATTTACCTACCTTAGAAAGGATGGAAGGCTGAGTCAACCTTGAGCCTTGGCGAGATTCGAACCTGCAGTAATTGCAGGCAGCTGGTCTTAATAACAGGGTGCTTTAGACCACTGTACTACCAAGGCTCTTTTTTGAGTTGAAACAGTTTATGTCCAGGATGCGAGGGGTCTGTAGATATTTTCACAGCCCTCTTTTTGACTCGTGCAGTTTACATGGCGTATGCCCTCCAACCTTGTCTTATGAGACTCTTATTCTGTAAGGTAACGTAAGGCCATGATATCCATTGTCTGAACAGACAATAAGAAACTCAGGACATTGCGACCGCTCGCTGGTCCTGGGCTATTTGACCAATAAGCTTCGGATGTTAATTGAGTAAGGATGGATGAACCAGAAGCCATCTCCTTCTAAGAGCCATGCAGGAAAACAGCTCCATGCCCGGAGTAAGAAAGCGATGCTCTCCACCTTGTCAAATTTGCAGTGATGTGATTCACCCCAATGAGGCATTTGGCTTTCTCTGCCTGGGGCGATTCGAGTAGCTCTCTGCAAGCATTCGAGCATCTTCTGGCTACCGGGTATCGTCAGAGGCCATTTTCTTCCAGCAAAGCGACGTCAAGCAGAACAATAATAAGCCATAATTGCAGTTGTGATAGGCAGAGAACCTGTTGGCTTTGCTCTTTAGACTGCCCATGGGAGAGTGGGGGAGGGGGGTATTCCTTTGCTTTCCTAAACAATCCCCCCCCCCAAAGGTTGTTTTATTCTCATAAAGCCAAAGTTTTAACAGATTTAACAGAATTGGAAGGGACCTTGTGGGTCATCTAGTCCAACCCCCCGCCCAAGCAGGAGTCTCTGCACCATTTCTGACAGATGGCAGTTCAGTCTCTTCTTGAAAGCCTCCAGTGATGAAGCTCCCACAACTTCTGAAGGCAACGTCTATGCCATCGGTGGATTGTTCTCAATGTCAGAAAATGTCTCCTTATTTCTAGGTTGAATCTCTCTCCTTGATCAGTTTCCATCCATTCTTCCTTGTCTGGCCTTCAGGTGCTTTGGAGAATAGCTTGACCTTCTCCTCTCTGTGGCAGCCCCTCCAATATTGGAAGACTGATATCCTGTCTCCCCTGGTCCTTCTCTTCCCTAGACTAGCCATGTCCAGTTCCTGCAACCATTCGTGGCATGTTTTAGCCTCCAGTCCCAAGTCTGTCATCTGAACCTCCATAACTGTCTGGTTTGGCTCTGCAACCCAACAAGACAGACACACTTGGCCAATAAAAAAAAATATTCTATTTTTTTTAAATTTGATTTATATGCCGCCCTTCTCCGGAGACTCAGGGCTGCTTACAATGCGTTAAGCAATAGCCTTCATACTTTTGTATATTTATACAAAGTCAGTTTATTGCCCCCACAAACTGGGTCCTCAATTTACCCACCTTAGAAAGGATGGAAGGCTGAGTCAACCTTGAGCCTTGGCGAGATTCGAACCTGCAGTAATTGCAGGCAGCTGTGTTAATGACAGGGTGCGTAGACCACTGTACTATCAAGGCTCTATTCTATTCTGTTCTATTCTATTCTATTCTATTCTATTCTATTCTATTCTATTCTATTCTATTCTATTCTATTCTATTCTATTCAGGTTGGATAAATCCAACCCATTGGATTTATTTCCTAAAGCAGGGCTGAGCCAAGAAGGATTCCCATTGTGAGGGAATCCTTTAGATTTAGATTTGATTTTTTTTTAAAAAAAAAGTAATGCAGTCTAGTTTCTTAATTTCCCCCCCCCCCTTTCTTTATTGCCTCTTTTCTTCAAACTCCTTGATTGTCGTGAAGGAGAAATGCTGGGGGGGAATGGGGGGGGGGGTTGGAATAATCTAGGCATCTTTCATTGTTAGCTTTTGCCGTCTTCAATTCAGCAAAGTTTCTCCTTCATTCTTCCAGCAAAGGGGGAGGTATTGCAACTGACATCAGCAGAGCCCGAGTTGGGATGGGGGTCCCTAACTGCTCCTTAGGTTTTCAGCTCCTCCTTTTGGCTAAGACAGATGGGGAGGGGTCTCCACGTTTACATGCAGCAGATGCAGGCAACTGCTGCCTGCATTTCATCATTTAGGGTCTGCTTGTTCGGAAGCAAGGAGGGAAATTGTCCCTTGGAAGCACCTGCCACTAATGTACCAGAGAGAAACGAATGCTGTAATGAGAGGGCACAGCATCTCATTAGATGAGCATTGTTCCAGTGGGTGGGAAGAGCTTTTGGTCCAGTCCCACAAGACGTGATGGTGGAGAATCAAGTTTCTGGAACGTGTCCTGCTCCCTCCAGGCTGGGAGGATGTCAGCAACATCCTCCGGAGAACTCGGGCTAAAGTGGATTTTAATTTGATGGCCTTGTAACATTCGCCTCTCCTCTAAGGAGGGAGAGCTCCTGAAGCTTAAACTGTATCAAACACCCGACAGACTAAAATCTGGATTTTCAAACTAGGAAGGAAGGAAGGAAGGAAGGAAGGAAGGAAGGAAGGAAGGAAGGAAGGAAAAGAAAGAAAGAGGAAGGAAGGAAGGAGAGAGAGAGAAAGAAAGAAAAAATGAAAGAAAGAAAGAGAAAGAGAAAGAATGAAAGAGGAAGAAAGGACAGAAGGAGAGAGAGAAAGAAAGAAAAAGAAAGAAAAAGAAAAAAGAAAGAGGAAGGAAGGAAGGAGAGAGAGAGAAAGAAAGAAAAAGAAAGAAAGAAAGAAGAAGGAAGGAAGGACAGAAGGAGAAAGAAAGAAAGAAAAAAGAAAGGAAGAGGAAGGAAGGAAAGAAAGAAAGAAAGAAAAGGAGAAAGAAAGAAAAACAGAAAGAAAGAAAGAAAGAAAGAGAAAGAAAAACAGACAAAGACAGAAAGAGAGAGAGAGAGTTCAATTTGTGCTTTGTGTGAGAATTGTGGGTTGTTTGATCATCCATTTCTATCATTTTGTTTTATTGGGTAGAGCAGCCACGAAATACAGCTTGTTGCTATGTAAAAAAAGATCACAGATTCTTCTGGGCACTCTTTGTTTTATTACTGAAAAACAAGCGAATATCTAGTCCTTATGATTTCGTACAAATGCTGAAAAACAAATGAGGGGGACGTGAGAAATTTAATATTGATGGGGAAAATGGGAGCGATGTGATGAGATTGCTTATCCATTAGCTTTTATAATCGTACATTCAGTCACGGAAGAGAAGGCAATTTGAAATCCCCAAAGGCTGAAAATATTGGTTACATCCTTCAGTTGGAAGGGAATTGGCCCACAATACAAAATACACTCTGATGTTTAAAATGTCACCCTAATTCTATGTGTCCCCAGGGCGCAGCGGCTCAGCTGTTAAGACGCTGGGCTTGTCGGTTGGAAAGCGGGTAGCCCCGGTTCGAGACCCGGGTGCCACGTGACGGATTGAGCTCCCGTCCTGCCAACCTAGTAGTTCGAAAGCATGTAAATCATCATCTTCTTCTTCTTCTTCTTTGAACGACCCCATAATCCCTTGCGGCATGGAGTCTGGGCAACTGACTGGAGATGAGTGTTTACTGGCCGGATGCCCTTCCTGTTGCCAATGTGGAGTTTTGTTCAGATATATTCCCAGTGTGCCCAGAGAGAGAAATATCTGCCTCTACCTAGGATCGAACTCACAGCCTCCTGATTGTGAGGCGAGAGCTCCACCTGTAGGCCAGAGCACCGCTCAACAAAAACCCTAGAAGTGAAGATCAGATATTGTTCTGAGTGGCTTTTATTGAACAGGACCACGGACAGCACCAAAACCTTGGACAGATCCCTGGGCAGCATCTTGGATGGCTCCGAGTGAATCCTACTGAGTTATAATGATCATGTTAGGTTGATAGAATGATGCCATCCCAACAAGACCTGAAGATGGAGTTCACAACTTTTTCTGAACAACGTGACTCTTGGGAGGGATGAGATCAGGACAAAAATCTGATTTCATTGACATTGAGAGCCCGTTGGGTCCAGTGGTTAAGGCAGCAGGCGAGAAACCAGGAGATGGGGAGTTCTAGTCTTGCCTTAGGCATGAAAACTTGGATGGGTAACCTTGGACCAGTCACCAGGAGACGGGGAGTTCTAGTCTGGCTTTAAGCACAAAAGCACAAAAACTGGCTGGGTGATTTTGGGCTGATCACCAGGAAATGGTGAATTCTAGTCCTGCCTTAGGCATTGAAACTGGATGAGTAATTTTGGGCCAATCACTAGGAGACGGTGAGTTCTAGTCCTGCCTTAGGCATGAAAACCAGATGGGTAACTTTGGGCCAATCACCGGGAGATGGTGAGTTCTAGTCTCGCTTTAGGCACAAAAACTGGTTGGGTGACTTTGGGCTGATCACCAGGAGATGGTGAATTCTAGTCCTGCCTTAGGCATTAAAATTGGATGTGTAATTTTGGGCCAATCACCAGGAGATGGTGAGTTCTAGTCTCGCTTTAGGCACAAAAACTGGTTGGATGACTTTGGGCTGATCATCAGGAGATGGTGAATTCTAGTCCTGCCTTAGGCATTGAAACTGGATGGGTAACTTTGGGCCAATCACCAGGAGATTGGTAAATTTTGGCAAACCCTGGATAGATCCTGATTTCCTGGGAGAACATCCCCATTTAAGGCGTGATTGCACGGATCTCTGAGAACTTTGGAACCTCATCTTTGGAGAGCTTTTATTGCATTTTGGAAGTCCAAGGCATGGAAGCCATGGCAACCACGGACCACCGAAAGACCCCCTCCTTCGGCTTCTTAAAGGGGCAGGCCGTTTTTTATGCAAGCCTACATTTAGAGTTAGACGAAGCCCTGATCCTTCCCAGCGTCATCTTTGGAGCAGATGCTCCCGTGTTCCCTCACCTGCTCGTGTGTGAAAACTCACAGCACCTGTCTGGATCCCAAGGTTGTTGTTTCTTTTTATTAAGGCTGCGAAGATTGTTTATTTCTCCCCCAAACACATTTGTTCCTTTTCCGTGGGCAAAAAGCTCTTTCTACGCGCGCCGAACAATAGCCCGGAGCCGAGAGCAGCGCGGTGACATTTTCCCAGCCATGATTTCAGGGGATAAAGAAAATTACTTTATCTGTTGAATTGCCGCTTCAGTCAGCAACCTGATTGGGCGACCTACTTCGAACTCTTTCAGCACTGGAAGCCAAACCCATTGATTTTAAAAGGCCAGGAAAGAGAGGCTGCCTTAAATAAAACGCCTCGGCTGAAGTTTCAGCCGAAGGAACGAGGACGCCTAGAGATTGGTTGAACATAATAAAAATCGGCTTACACCAAATAGAAAAAAGGAAGCTGTTGTGTGGGATTAGATAGATACAGTATATATTAGATAGATAGATAGATAGATAGATAGATAGATAGATAGATAGATAGTAGATAGATAGATAGATAGATAGATAGGGATGGATAGATGATAGATAGATAGATAGATAGATAGATAGATAGATAGATGGATGGATGGATGGATGGATGGATGGATGGATGGATGATGATGGATGGATGGATGGATAGAGAGAGAGAGAGAGAGAGGATGAATGGATAGATGATAGATGGATGGATGGATGGATGGATGGATATGGATGGATGGTGGATGGATGGATAGATAGATAGATAGATAGATAGATGGAGAGATGGATGGATAGATGGATGGATGGATGGATGGATGGATAGATAGATAGATAGATAGATAGATAGATAGATGGAGAGATGGAGAGATGGAGAGATGGATGGATGGATGGATGGATAGATAGATAGATAGATAGATAGATAGATAGATAGATAGATAGATAGATAGATAGATAGATAGATAGATAGAGAGAGAGAGAGAGAGATGGATGGACAGATGGATGGATGGATGGATGGATGGAGAGATGGATGGATGGATGGATAGATAGAGAGAGAGAGAGAGAGAGATATGAATGGATAGATGATAGATGGATGGATGGATGGATGGATGGATGGATGGATGGATGGATAGATAGATAGATAGATAGATGGAGAGATGGATGGATAGAGATGGATGGATGGATGGATGGATGGATAGATAGATAGATAGTAGATAGATAGATAGATAGATGGATAGATGAGAGATGGAGAGATGGAGAGATGGATGGATGGATGGATGGATGGATAGATAGATAGATAGATAGATAGATAGATAGATGATAGATAGATGGAGAGATGGATGGACAGATGATGGATGGATGGATGGATGGAGAGATGGAGTTAGAGATCGATATAGAGATCGATATAGATACAGATATAGATGATATAGATATAGATATAGATTAGATATACTGTAGATATAGATATAGATATGGATGGATGGATAGATGGATATAGATATATAGATATTTGTCTTCTTAAGACCATTTTTCACACTTACGACCGTTACAGCATCCCCATAGTCACGTGATCAATGGGCTCAATGATACAGCAGGAGCCAAAATTGTGGAAACCTTTTGGGAAAAGTGTATTTTCTAAAACTAGCTAATAAATAACCCCCTCTTTTTTTTTGGAGTAGTACCATAAAATTACATATCAGTGGAAAGATAATTTAATCAAGAATGTAATGCAATAATCCTATTTAATAATAGGATTTGCTATTAGAATAGCAGTTACGGTATAAAGAAGAAAAGGGAAACGTAGAAAAAACGAGATATAAAAATGATCACCATGTCAGTTCATACCTTGTTGGGTAACCTTTAGCACGAATGACGGCCTTACAACGTCTTCCCATGGAGTGAACCAAGTCTTTGAGTTCTGCAGCTCTTCTAATGTGAAACCAAGATGGAATGATGGCTTCTATTAACTGGGTTTTATTGCTGGGTCGCTTCTGACAAACAAGTTTCTTTAGTCAGCTCCATAGATTTTCAGTTGGGTGAAGGTCTGGGCTATTCCCAGGCCATTCCAGCAGTGGAATAGGATTATCTTGAAACTCCAAAAAAAAAAGTGGTGTTATTAGCCATCAAACCTCAAAAATACACTTTTCCCAAAAGGCTTCCACAATTTTGGCCACTACTGTAGTTGTAAGTCAAGAACTCCTTTTATCCTTTTAAATTTTCTTTTAAATATGGCAGGATGATCTTTGCATTTGCAACTGGCTGATTACAATCCAGAAAGCTTCTAGATTAGGGTAGAAAATAATTGTTTTTTTTTTTTTTAAATCAATTTCCTGCTTTGCGTGTTTCTTTATAGGCACACTTACTCACAGGTATGTCCTTCTCTGAAATAAAAGGTTTTGGAGATTTTAACCAGCCCAGGAAACTTGATTTCCTGACATTTTAAAATCAATTGTATTTTAAACTAGGCTATTTTTAAAATGGCTTTGCTTTTATTTCATGGGGAAAACAAAACACTATTGGAAAACACGGGATATTTCGGTGATTGTGTGGTTGTGAAACAAAGGAGGTTTTTACAGGGGGGGGAAACGGGCCTCCCAAAGATAGTTACAGCCATTTATTACTCTAATTTGTCCCCCAGGGGTTCAATTATAGGGACAGAAGGGAGAAATGGAGGCACAATGCGTTAAGGCCACAATCTGTGGCGTTTGCATAGAAGTGTGGGCTGATTTTCTGCAGATTGCGCTATCTCTGGAACAGCCTTTCAATCATTCAACAATACCTTTCCCCCCAGGGGTTGAGACCCCATGTTCTCTGAAGCTAGAAAACCTATTTCTTATCTTTAGGGATATTTGTGGCTGTGACGTGGTGAGGTCCCTAGATCGGTGTTTCTCAGTCTTGGCTATTTTAAGAGGTGTGGATTTCAACTGTGAGAGCCCTCGCCTTTGCCTTTTGCAACCAAATTTGAACATGGTCAACTTTGAACATGGTTAGATATTCTTGCCATCTGGATGACAGACAGACAGACAGACAGACAGACAGACAGACAGATAGATAGATAGATAGATAGATAGGTAGATAGATAGACAGACAGACAGACAGACAGACAGACAGACAGACAGACATAGATGATTGAAGTTAGGTAGGTAGGTATGGTAGATAGGTAGATGGAGGGAGGGAGGGAGGGAGGGAGGGATAGATGGAATGGATAGATAGATAGATAGATAGATAGATAGATAGAGATAGATAGATAGATAGATAGATAGATGATAGACAGACAGACAAATGGAAGTTAGGGAGGGAGGTAGGTAATAGGTAGGTGGATGGATGGATGATAGAAGTTAGGTAGATAGGTATGGTAGATGGATGGATGGATAGATGGAAGATAGATAGATAGATAGATAGATAGATAGATAGATAGATAGAAGATAGAAGACAGACAGACAGATAGACAGATAGACAGATAGATAGACAGACAGATGATTGAAGTTAGGTAGGTAGGTCTATAGTAGATAGGTAGATGGAGGGAGGGATGATGAAAGGTAGATAGATAGACAGACAGACAGACAGAGATGATTGAAGTTAGGTAGATAGGTAGGTAGGTAGGTAGGTAGGTGGATGGATGGATGGATGATAGATGATAGACAGATAGATAGATAGATAGATAGATAGATAGATAGATAGATAGATAGATGATAGACAGACAGACAATCAGTTAGGGAGGTAGGTAGTAGGTAGGTGGATGGATGGATGATAGAAGTTAGGTAGATAGGTATGGTAGATGGATGGCTGGATAGATGGAAGATAGTAGTGATAGATAGATAGATAGATAGATAGAAGACAGACAGACAGACAGACAGATGATAGATAGATAGATAGATAGATAGATAGATAGTAGATAGTAGATAGAAGACAGAATGATGAAGTTAGGTAGGTAGGTCTAGTAGATAGGTAGATGGAGAGGGATGATGAAAGGAGATAGTAGACAGACAGACAGACAGAGATGATTGAAGTTAGGTAGATAGGTAGGTAGGTAGGTGGATGGAATGGATGGATAGATGATAGATAGATAGATAGATAGATAGATAGATAGATAGATAGATAGATAGATAGATAATCATCATCATCATTTTAGCCATGGTCTATCTACTGAGGGATGAAGGCCTCTTCTGCCATTTCCAACCTGTACGCTCCTGGGCTCCTTTTGCCAATTGTGTGTTATTTAAGGAGCAAAATAAATCAAAAGTCCAAATTGTTTTAGGGGGGAAAACAAGAGCAGCAAGATAATTAGGAGCACAGAAATAGCTTAGGAACCCATGTAACTGTAGACCTTGAATTGCCCACTCAATGATGAAGGGTTTTTTTCAGTGTTGATCTCTACTTTTAATGGAACGGAAACCGCTGGCATAATAGAATAACAGAGTTGGAAGGGACCTGGAGGTCTTTTAGTCCAACCCCTGCTTAAGCAGGAGACCCTATTCCATTTCAGACAAATGGTATCCAACATCTTCTTAAACACTTCCAGTGTTGGAGATTCACAACTTCTGGAAGCAGGTTGTTCCACTGGTTGATTATTTCACTGTCAGGAAATAAACACATTTACATGTACAGTCATTTATCCATCATTTTTCATTCTCTTATCTTTTAACTTTCATTTTTCATTTTTTTCTTTTTCGGGGTGGTCTTTTACCCTTTACCTTTACCCCCAACCTTTCTCTCTTCTCTCCCTTCTCTTCCTTCTCTTCTCCTCCTACTTTCTTCGTTCTTCCTCTCCTTCTCTTTCCTACTTCCCCTTCCCTTCCCCCACTCCTCTCTTCTTCCCCTCTTCTAACGTCTCTTCTACTCATCTTTCCCTCCCTTTTCTTCCTCTCCTTTTCCCTTTCTTCTTTCTCTCCCTCTCCTCTCCTCTCTTCTCCCTTCCGCTCTCTCTCTCTACTCCTTCCCTCCCTCCTGTTGTTTCCCTTTTCAGTTCAATCTATTTGAGCAGCCCCGATTTTTCTATTTATCTTTATTCTCATTTCAA